TCTGCCTTTGCGTTTGAGTGTTCGATTTTTGAGTTTTTTTTGGCTCTGACAATCCGCGGTCCTTGCACGGCCTGGCCAGCACGGCTGGTAGGCTAGTTTATTTATTTATGTAAATTATTTATTGATTTCTATTTATGTAGTCATTTCTATTTATTTATTCATTTTTATTTATTATTTTTTTATTTATTCATTTATACTTATTTAGTCATTTTATTTATTTATTCTGATTATTGATTCATATTTATTTATTCAGTGATAGTTGTTTAGTATTTACTGGTTTATATTTATTTATTTATTAATTGATATTTAATATTTATTTATTAATTGACCTTTTTTATCTTGTTTGTTGGTTGTTATTTGAACAATGGTGCAGGTTGCAATGCAGGTTGTTTTTGACCAAGTGTAGTAGCGCAGCGGGCGGCGGCCCGATCTAATTTCGACACGCACTTGCTGATGGCAGTTTTCGTTGAAGAAGATGATTAAAACTGTCACAATCAGTTTGTACAGTTTAAATTTTAGTTTGCGAGTTTTTCGCCCGTAGACAAGTCTTAGAGAGAAAAACAGTGAATCAAAAGGCGCACAGTGCACAGCGCGATTGCGGTGCAAGGTTTGGGAAAAAGCTGGACGGCAGAGGAAATGAAATAGAGTGTCATTAATTTGGGAGTGTGTCGACAGTAGAGAGGAAAGTTAAGAGAGTTTGTCGGAAGTAGAGAGGGAATTTAAGTTGAAGAGAATCGAAAGGGCCGGCAATGCTGGGCACGACTCGAAAAGCAAAGGCTTTGGGAGGATCGGCCAGAAAGGACAGTTGCTTCGACGAGCTTTAGGGGGGAGGAGGAGGTGTAAGGCTGCAGCTGACGGGGACATCTCCTACTTCACTCAGTCAGACTGCTTCTGCCACACAAATACACATTCACAGACAGCGATGACTCGGTGAAAGTCCGCACTGAGATATTGTGGAGTTGTGTTATAGCGAACACGACAACGCACTGAGCACCGCATCGAGCCAAAATGTCACACACACACACACACACACACACACACACACACACACACACACACACACACAGAGAGAGAGAGAGAGAGAGAGAGAGAGAGAGAGAGAG